CAGCGTACTTCTGTATGGAACAGAAGAACTTTGTGATCAGAATCGAGATCCTCGCAAAGTAAAGTAAATAAACTACTGTTCAAAGCGCTGCTCTTTAGTTTTAGAGTTTATTCCAATCCAAGTCATGGTTTTCAACAAAATTTTATATTGAATTAAATATATTCTCAGAAGTAGTACCTGCTGTCAAAGATTGGGAGTACAAAATCTCTTCTTCAATGATATCTCCGCCGACGTAACGAACATACACTATTAACTGTGCACAATTAACGATGTCGGTGGATTCATCGCAACTAATTGCAAAAAATGGCGATAATTTTACTTTGTTGATTATTTGTGACTTTATGTCTGTTGCAATGTCATCGATTCTATGCTTGACTGTATTATCCGAAAGAGAAATAGATTTCATTTTTTGCTCTGCATCTTCTCCTAAAATTATCTGCGTGGCTTTTAGAACACACGGTTTTATTAATTCTTCACCAATAGTATGAGGTTTCTTTTGCTTTGCTATCATAAAAGCTATTTCAAATGAAGCTTTGAGATGCTGCGATACACCTTTAATGATAACTTCCCGATTTATCCAATCTCATCCGCTTGAGTGATTCTGCTTTAGAAGAAAAAAACTCTTGCGTCTTCAAAACCAGAGTAGGATGTTGTACCTTCAAATGTCTTTCAAGGCGATTGGGCCTCATGCTATCATTACTTAAAACTTTCATACATATCATACACTGAGGTAACTGTAACTTGTCTTTTTCTATGAAGGTAAATCCAACCTTAATATAATCTTCGGAAAACTTTCTTTTTTTCGCTGCCATTTTGCAACCTATAACAATAAAACAGTAATAAATAAACAAGCAAAATACCTACATGTAATTTATAAATGCCCATTTATCTTAATAACGTAATGTATTTAACGTTTCAAAATTAATTCGCCACGTAGGTTTGATTGTAATGTGTTAAAAAAGATCCAATGATCGATCTACGAACGCATCTTAGCTCAATCAATAATTTAGTAAATTAAATAAAAATGACAACTGTAGTTTGTAAATACACAAACTTACCTTTTAACAGTAACACACAATAATTATACACACTCAAACTAATTTCTCAGCAACAAATTGATACCGAAACGTCAAATTTTTCGTAAATTTGTGTGAATGAATGTCACAGAGGCTCATGCACGTCCGGTAGGTACTCAACTATTTTCTATCTACCTATGATCTAATCCTAATTCCTAATGAACGTTATGCGGAATCGGTGCGGAGGGGTTGCGTGCTGATTTCATGTAGTGGCTTGTCGAAACTTATATAAACTGCGATTGACGACGTTGGTGTCGGGTTTTGAAACGGTTGTTGACATATTTAATTTCATTAATTTTATCCGTGTAAATTAAACATTACATTGTAATATTATTTGTAAATGTTGTTTGATTATTTTTTTTTTCTAAAATTGCAAACGTCTTCCGCCCCCCTTGACATCTCTCTATGCCCCCCTTGGGGGGCATGCCCCCTGGTTGGGAACTCCGGGCCTAGAGCATAGCAGTGACAGTGAACGCTCGCATTTAAAATAATGCATTTATTTTGTCTGGCGATGGATAATATGGTACGATCCTATGGTCGGAGTGAGGGTCGGCGCTTCGTTGTGGGCGCTCACTACGAGGAACCTCAGCCAATTAGAATCTGTTCAGAATGTACTAGATTTCCTTCGAGAAACGAATTTGTATTAGAAAATTGATTATTTTATTTTTTTTTTATTTTCCCTTTTATTATCTTTATATTAAATTATAATGTAATGTAAAATGTATAGTAACAAAATTGACCCAGTGTCAATAACCTTGTAGTTGAGACACAATAAACTAAACAAAATTATTTTATTCATTATTACCTAAATAAAGTGTAATCAACGATCCTAGTCATCTTTATTTAATTCTTTTTAACTGGATTTTGTAGAGTTTAAAATGAAATCTTATCTAAATACATCTTCTATTTGCGCAGTTCAGCGGGGGGATGTATGTGGATTTTCCACAAAACTAAAACTGCATTAAATCTAAAGTTTTATTGTAATTTATGACAGTTTTTGGTCTACCTCTGGTCGAATGCCATCTTTTACTATATATATATATATATATATATATATATATATATATATATATATATATATATATATATATATTATATATATATGTATATATATATATATATATATATATATATATATATATATATATATATATATATATCGGTTTTAAAACGTTCTCCTACGTCTTCCGATGCCTAGTCGCCATTCACTTCGGTCCATCCAAAGGTCTTCATCTAATTCTCTTTCTCTCATACTTCGATTTATGCCTTCTCTCCAACTAAGACGGGGTCTTCCTCTTTTTCGTCTACCATGAGGGGTCCACGTTAGGATTTGTTTCGGGAGTCGTTCTTCGGACATTCTTTGTACGTATCCATACCATCTAAGCTGTTTGGTACTAATGTCATCTACTATTGTGTGTTTCACATTCATTATTTCCCTAATTCTGTTGTTGGTTATCCTTTCTAATCTTGATTTTCCTGCTGAGCGCCTCCAGAAATCCATTTTTGTTGCTTCAAGTTTTCTCTTGTATCTTTCTTTTATTTGCCATACTTCACTGCTGTAAGTGATTATACTCTTAACAATTGTATTGTATATTCTATGTTTGTTGTTGTTTGATATTGCCTGGTCCCACAGTATGCTATTGAGAAGGGTAATTGCTTTTCTTCCCTGGTTATTTCTTTCTTCTATCATCCGGTCTACGTTTCCTTCTTGTGTGATGGTCATACCCAGGTATTAATATGCGTCGCAATGTTTAATAATTTCGCCATTCCCCAGTGTAAGGTCCTGCTATGTCCCACCGATACACATATATTCGGTCTTTTTTATGTTTATTTCCAAACCACCTTTTTTGTACTCCTCTATTAATTTCCTTGTCATATATTCTATATCATCGTAGTCTTGCGCTAGTAGAAGTTGGTCGTCTGCAAATGACAAAGTGTATATTGTATTGTTGTTGATCGGTAATCCCATGTTTTTGCATTTGCGTTTCCAAAGTTTTAGAGTTTGCTCGAGGTAGATCTTAAATAATGTCGGTGAAAGGCAGCACCCTTGTTTTAGGCCTTTGCTAATTTGGAATCCTCTCGATAGCCCGCTTCCAACTTTCACCCTTACTGCAGTTTTGGTATACAATTGTTTCGTCGCTGTTATTAAATTTGCGCTTATATTGGTTTTCTCTAATGCTTCCCATAGTTTATTTTGTGGGATGCTATCATACGCTTTCCTCAAGTCCACATATAACAGATGCACCTCCTGGTTGACGGTTAGTTTCTTCTCAATAATCTGTGTAATACAAAACAGATGGTCTACCGTTGATCTCCCTGCCCGGAATCCTGCCTGTTCTTCAGCTTCTATATCTTTATATTCGTTTTCGATTTTATTTTTAATCAGTTTTCCGTATATTCGGCTGATTGAGTTCGTTACAGCGATGCCTCTTTAGTTGTCACATTGATCCCGTCTGCCTTTTTTATGTTTGGTGGATATCCATGATGTCTTCCATTCTTCTGGGATTTTCGCTCCGTTGATGTATCTTTAAAAGAGTTTAGCCAGGTTTTCATATAATTTTGTTGTGCCATATTTTATTAGTTCAGCTGGTATGTTCCCTGGTCCTGGTGCTTTGTTATTTTTTAAAGACTTACATACTTCTTCTACTTCTTTTGTTGTTATTCGTAATGGTGAGGCTAAGATATTTACGTTGCTGGTATCACTGTTATTTAAAAATTCCGCTCTGTCCTCATTTAGGAGTTTTTTAAAATATTCGTCCCATTTTTCCTGTCGTAGCGATTTTAATACTTTCCAACTTTCTGTACTTCTCCGTCCTCCTAAATGTGTGTTAATCATGTTACACTTTTGCTCCCAAGCCTCATTCTTCTTTTGGCATATCATTTTTCGCACTTTAGCTTGGGTCTTCTTGTATTCTACCTTATCAGCGTCGGTCCTTGTGCTCAGAAATTTTTTATACTTCCCTCTTTTATTTTTAATTTCTTGTTCTATTTCTTCGTCCCACCAATACGAAGTTTTTCTGTGGTTTTTTACTTGGAGTCCGAGAGCCTCTGTTGCTGCTTCCTGAAGACATGTTTTTATATAATGATAATGCTCTTCATTGCTGGTAAATTGCATGGTTTCTAACTTTTTATCTAGTCTACTCCTGTATAAATCCCTCACGCTTTCTTGTTCTAAGCTGTTTAGGTTGTATTTCTTTTCTGTTAGTTTTTCTATTTCCTCTGCAGCTTCTTTTAAATCTCTTGCTCTATCTATTCCTATTGTGAGCTTTGTTTTTAATAGATGGTGGTCACTGCCGCAAGTGGCTCCTCTATATACCCGCACATCCTGTACAATCAATTTAGTCTTTTGTCTTATGATTGTATAGTCTATGATTGATTTCAGCCCTCGGGTATTTTGTGTCCATGTATATTTATGGATATCTCGGTGTTGAAAGAATCTATTTGTGATTTTCATATCATTTTGTTCGCATAAGGCTATTAGTCTAGTACCGTTGTCATTTACAGCCTCTTTTACTCATTAGCAAAATTAATATCAAACTTACCCAGTTTACAGGTTGAATATCATCGAATTTTGCAAAGTTGGGTTTAGATGTCCTCTATAAAGTTTTCATCGAGGCTTCTGAGGCATCTATCTCCTGAGTCCACAGATCACTTGACTATTCACTGCTCTAGTAAATTGATCTGGGGCTTAAGAGACTCAGACTTCGGAAATCGTGATAGAAGAATTCAGAGTGGAAGTCGAAAGCTTAGTGAAGCCAAATTTGACACGGTATAACTCGAAAACTAGGTACATTTGATATTAATTATTCTGATAATACTAATCTTAGCTATAGGTTTTATTTTACTAACCGCGGAATTTCTGTGTAATTTGTTTTGTAAAAACTAGTTTTTCTGTAATTAAAATATCAATATCTTCCGTTTTAGGTATTCATGGTGTTCAAAAATAAAGGTCGAACTGACGAGAGCTCCATGGTGTCAAAAATACCATCCTCGAAATTTATCACGAAAAGTCGCTCTGATAATCCGCAATACAGCACCAACTCTTCGACTGGAGGAGGACCAGATTTTACCTACTCTAAATACAATGAACAAGACGTCCAAGAGGAGTTTCTCAGACTTTATACTCAACTTGAAATACTACGTGAAAGGAATATGAGAATGGGAAACAGACACTTGGCTTCAAAAATAATAGCAATGCAAGATGCAGCTAGATCGCATGATAGTTCGGGTCAGAATCCCATTAATTCCAGTACTAGTCTTGGTAAGTATGGGGTGTTGTAAAATTCAACATAAAAAATTGCATACCATTACTTCTTATATCTTTAACTCTCCTCACTTAATTTTTTAAGCGAAGCTTCTATACTGCGGTTAGATTACTTTTCTCTATAGTAAAATGCTGAGGCAGCGTCACGGAAGTAGAACTACGAAATAGTTGTTACATTAACAATGTTAATATATACTTCTATGATATGACTAAGGTTCAGACGCCTCCAGCGCAAGCTGCTGGAAGTCCGCAAATTTCCTCAAATCTTCTCTGTCACATTTACTAAGCGTGCCTCCTTTGTCTCCGCTGAATGTACCAGCGGTTGCTTGGGAGTGCGTGGTACACAATAATGAGTTTTAAGTTTCTTAAAATGTTTAATTAAAAATTTCGATTGATACGACATGCGTTTAGGCGGTTTTTGTCTGCTGGATCTAAACAGCTTGTTATAATCACTAAGTGCTTTGTACTTAAAGTCACTCGCTGAGGTCGTCTGAACGCACCCATTGCCTGAAGAAAAGTAATTTATATACTACAGACATAACAACGCCAGTGACTATCTTAGCATTCACACACGAAACATTTTTGAAATTATCAGTTGCCAAGAATAAGACTTCTTTTATGTTTTCCACAATCTGAAAAGTGCTTTTTGTAGTACCCACTAACCCACCAATATTTTTTTTTAATTTGAATGAGTGGATTGTGGTTTAAAAAATTGAATACAATTTTCACTTCATACAAACTTCAGCCTTCCTAATAATAAATATACGCCTATAAAAACGATACACTCCTTTAATTTAGATTTCTTATCTCCCACCAACACAATGTTTAACTTTACCGGAAGCAAATATATGTCAATTTCTATTTCATTATCTTCAAAAAATATTTTTATTCTTCTTTATTTTCATTTTTAAGTCTTTAGATTGTTCCATACAATATACACTTAGCAACAGGAAAGGAAGTAATATCATTATATTTTAAAAATACACTCGTATAAGTGAAAATGTTTATTTTCGGAGAAGAAATTATCTTACTTAAAACCACTCACACAAAATTCTATATAATTATCACGGGAAAAAAGTGAAATTTCAAACAATGTTAACATTTTTTGGTTGAGTTTATCGAAAGCTGAATATAGCCGCAAATGTCAACCATGAAATAAAATAATTCGGTTTGGCAGTGTTGGGATGTTTTTATAATGCATATGTTATTTGCTTCAAATATAAAGAGAGAAAGCTTTTAAAAAGTACATTTTGATTATACTATTTTATGAATTCTGCAATTTTTAATTTATATGAAACGATAACGAGTAAATATTTGTCTCTTTCGAGATTCGTTGCAAACATTTGTTGCAATCTAGCAACTGCTGATTTGATGATGGCCAAACATATCCCCTAATCTATCAAAGGGCAATTGCCAAATAAAATTTCTAATAGTTAACTCACTCCTCTGCCCTTATTTGTTATTAAATTAAATTTAATTAAATTAAGAACACTTCTCACAAAGGCGCAAAAGCATCATTTACGTAGTGCAGTAGAGAGTAGAGATAACAACATTACCGCGGTATCAAGAGGGAAGAGGACTTATGGATATAGGTCAGCAATTGGATAAACAAATTGCTAATTTTAGAACTTATTTTCAGGTACAGGCTGAGGCATCTACTTTACATCGAGCAATTTGCGCAGTAGATGATACAACGCCGCTTGAACTGAGGGAACAAAAAATGCGCATAAAACACCTGACTCGGCAAGAAAAAATGCGCACCTGGATGAGTAAACCTCTGCATGGGCGACATCTCAATAAGATCAGCCAAGAATATGTCGACAATACAGCGTCACATACATACTCACATCTTAATATAATTGTTTAAGGCATTAAACACCTACGCATTTTCCGCGCTTAGCTACTCATTTTTAATTATTATAAGTGGACTAATACGGATATAGAAACTATTCAGAGAAAAGTACGAACACACCTCACCAAGGCACAAAATCACCATCTCCGAAGTGCATTAGAAAGAACGATATTACCGCGGTATTTAGGAGGACGAGGACTTATTGATATAAGCGAGCAATTAGAAAAACAGATAACTAATTTAACAACTTATTTTCAGGTGCAGGCGGAGACATCTACTCTTCATCGCGTGATTTGTGCAGTAGATGACTAAACACCGATCAACCTGAGGGAACAAGAAATGCGCATAAACCATCTTACTAAGAACGAAAAAGCACGCATTTGGATGGGCAAACCTCTCCACGGGCAACATTCGAATGAATGTCAAGACTATGTCGACAATATAGCGTCGAACTATTGGTTGACATCAGGAAAGATGTTCCCTGAAACACAAGGTTCATTACTCGCCATTCAGGATCAGGTTATACCAACCAAAAATTACCTGAAATATATCGTCAAAGACCCTCATGTCCAAAACGACAAATGCCGATATGGATGTCAAGCCCAAGAAACTATCCAACATCTTACAGGGGGCTGCCAGGCATTTGCTGCAACTGAATATAAGGAACGGCATGACTCAGTAGAGAAGATCCTCCATCAAGTAATAGCTTTTAAACTGGGACTTCTTCCAACAAACCATCTCCCATATTATCAGTACGTTCCTGAGATTATGCTTGAGAATGACAACTACAAGCTATATTGTAATCGCACTGTACTCACAGACCAAACCATTGCACGTAATAGACAGATCTCGTGCTAGTTTATAAACTAACAAGACAAACAACTCTAATCGATGTGGCGATACCTAACAACAATAATCTGCGTGTTAAGTACAACGAAAAGATGGCCAAGTACAGAGATCTGGAAATCCAAATAAGGAAACAATGGAGAATGGAAAGTACCCAGACGATACCTAGTATTCTTTCTAACACTGGAGTTATCCCGAAGAACCTCCTAGAAAACATAAAAAAGCTGGGTCAAAATGAACATCTATATAAGATAATACAGAAAGCTGTGCTACTTTCGACGTCCAGATGCGTGCTAAAATTTTTGGGAGATACACCGACGTATCAAGTCACCTAGGATTCGATAACATGGAAAGAGTCCCACCAGAGTTCAATCCTTTTGATACCGTAGGTATCTGGGATGAGTGAATTGTCCCCTAGTGGAAACTAAAACGTTTTTATTTTCACAAGAAACATTTTGTTTTCAAGAGAAACAAACTGTTTGCACAAACCATACTGCAATCAGTTTTATTAAAGATGTCGACAGATTACGACGAAATTGCACTAGATTGTTGGCAGTGGTTCCTCCTACAAGACGAAAAAACAAAATATCGCTGTTTCCACATGTGCTCCTTGTTGACTATTCGAGCGGTTTCAAAAAGAGAATTCCAAAAACACGTTGCGCCTGCGTACATTGAAATATTTCGGCACAAAACGACGATCCGGTAATCAACATCAAACAGACTGACTGAAACAAATGAGCCTAAACATGCTTTAGACACATGACTAATCAGTGTGCGTCCGCTCATTTAATTTATATGGAAATATCAACATCAAACTCGTTTAGTCAAAAACGTTTTTGACTAAAACAGTTTTTCTCTTTCTGTGTGCGGCCACCCTAAGAGGGAATGTGAGCCGTATGACTAAATCTGGATAATAATAATAATTAATCTCCAAAGAAACAAATATTTACTCATTCTTGTTGTATATAAATATAAAATTGCAGAATTCGTAACATTATAATCAAAATGTACTTTTCTAAAGCTTTATCTCTTTATATTTGAAGCATACAGTATATACATTATAAAAACATGCCAACACTGCTAAACCGATTTTTTTGTTCCATGTTTGACATTTGCGGCTATAGTCAGCTTGTACTTTCGGTAAACTCAACCCATTTTTGCCCCCTTATTTGTGTCCTACTGGCGGACAATAAACAGACTAAACTTTAAAAATTGACTTCACTTACTGTATTATGAACAGTATTGAATAGAATGAATCCTTTTATTTTTTCTTCTCTTCTCCAGGTTTTATCCTAGTATATTGTTCCTTTCATTTTACCTTACTTTTAACAAAGATTTAAAAAGTTATTGGAGTGTTCGGAGAGTTAATGAGTACTTTCCGCAAAGCTGTTTTTAAAGAGCGATTTGTATATTCTTCAAACTCCTTTAAAATGAATGAATTTAGGGTTGTACTTTGATTATTTAGGTATATATTTATATTATCATAGAAATACAGTTAGGAAAAACAAGTAGGAGAGAGTCTTGTACCTTTGGGAAAATTTCATGTCGTTTGGCTCAAATTGTTTAAAAATTATGAAGCATAGAGAAGTAGATACAATCTTTATCTATAAAAGACAAAGTATAGGTCTATGGATTCGTTTCAGTTACCTTTTAAAAAAAAATTTTTTTGACAGGTTGTCCAAAGGTACGACACTGTGTTGTACCTTTGTCCACATTATGTTGTACCTGTGGTCAGAGAACAAATTACCTTCGATTAAGAAGAAACAACACAAACGAACGGAATCTTATTTATTACATGAATTATAAGATGACAAACATGATTACTTTATATTGTATGTATCAAATTTAACATTAAAGAACATCATATTTTGTTGGCGTTGTGATGTTCCAACCAAATTTGGCGAAGGCAGTTTTTTTATTTTATCGCCTACGGAGATACAAGAGACTTCCTCATCTGAATAGACAAATTTATTGTTTCCAATAACTGTTTTTGGGCGAGCTGTTAAATAGGGCGACAGATATTCGTGGTCACCAAATATATTTTCATTAACAGGCTATATCCCTGTTTTTTCAAATCCTTTGACAATGTTTGCAGGGGTAAATGTGCAATCGCCTTGCTTACGAGTTCAGCTACGTCATACAAGCTTATAGGACATCCAGGATGGGTCATCATCCACTCATTAGCTATGGTGTTATAGTAGGTTTTGGATGGTCTAAAAACAGTCCTGTCAAGAGGTTGAATTCTGTGCTAGGTGTGTGGCGGCAACGTTAATAGCACAATATTATTTTCCTTCGCCAAATCAATCACGGAAACTGCAATATGGGACTCGTGATTATCGAGTATTAGTAGCACTTGGTCCTTGAAAAACACGCGAGGGAATATCAACATGGACGGCACATGGTTACCGATGGCATTAACCGCAGCAATCAAAATTACATTGATCTCTCTTTCTCCGGATATCATACTACTTAGTTGCTTTACACTTTTTAAGGCTATTATCTTAGGTAGGGCATGGACTGAAGAATTTCCGGTTTCATCTAAATTATAGATATTGGCAGGGGAAAACCTATAGCGTGACTTTACTCAGATTGTTGAAAAAATCTTGGATATTTTCTTTGTTAAAACTGGTTAACCTTGCCAGGCTTGTAGCCTCGGAATTCCTTAACGACAATGATGGATGCCGATTCATGAAGTATCTTAGCCATTCTTTGCCTGCAGTTGCATTTGAAGTGACGCTGCCTGTGTCAAGTACTGCTCCAACTGTGACTTTTGTTCAAGTAAAGACACTTTTTTAACATCGATGATTAGATAAGGTTGATCGACAAATATCACATTTTTTGGCAGCTTGTCGAATCTTATTTTCAAGGATGTCTTCGACAACTTTCTGTAAAGCACCTGCATCCACTTTGTCTCTTTTTATTCCACTTTTGCTTCTTGGCATTTTTTTGTAAAGAAGTTTGGTATCAGTTTACTTGTTATTTAAGTAAAAAAACATTAAAGTTCAATTTTGTAGAGTTTACTAGCCGAATGCAGTGAGGTTAATAAAACACATAGGCGATAAAAATTGCCTTAATGCCGCGGTGCATATTAAAGCAAAGTGACCACTGAGATTCCTCTTATTTGAAAATTATTTATTACCTATGCATTAAAAACACACGTCAGTGCCGATTTCGCCTTACTTTAGTGTCTACTTTCAGTGAAATTACAGATAAATTAAAAAAGTAAAATATTTTGTCTTGTTGTACCTTTGGCCATTGCCAGTTGTACCTCTGGCCAGGCCAAAGGTACAATAAACGTTATGTCCCAAGGTACAACAATGTTTACAACTACCAAAACACATTAATTTTTTAAGGTTATGTAAACTTTATGGATTGGTGAACACAAGTTTTAAATAGCAATCATAGTATATTTCTTACCAGGGAAATTATAGATGAAACCAGCCATAACTTTGTAACACACCGACTCTTTATGTTCTCGCTAATTATTTACTTTTAACACAAAAAATTCACAAGCTTGACTAAATTCCAAAGTCTTTATATTTATGAAGCAAAACTATTGTACCGATCTCAAGTGGCCAATAGCAGAACGTTAAAGTAAAAATTCTTTCCAACACGGAGAAAACAACAATTTTAACGACAGTGTCCAGAGGTACAAGCGCCCAAATGTACAACACTCTCCCCTATCTAATATTAAACCAATTTCATTTACATATTATAAACATTAGGTATGTTATTGACAACTAAAATATTTTGATATTACCTAATTCTAACTAATTTTTCTTACAGCTGCTATTGCCGATACCACCATAGAAGACGTATCGCCAATAAAAATAAAAAGACAGAGTGTATCTTTCGCCGTAGAAACAAAACCGAATGTCAATGGAGATACTCCAGTTGTAAAAGGCGAGAAAGATGATGAAGTTGTGACTACGACAACTGAAGAAATTATTGCAACAAGTTCAACATATCCCACTGCATCACCTGAAACGAAACAGAAAGAAGCAAAAAATTCTGGATCTGACAGTAATGGTCGCTATCTTATGTCTGGTCATGCAAGAACCCATTCTATTGTTATTAATTTAGACGATAAGAGCCGTTTCACTGATGAAATAACTGTTTAATATGTTTTTTTATTTACCATGTACCTGATGTGAAATAAAGGTTGTATCTAGGTATGTAAACTGGCAGTTTTATTACCTGTAACTTCAAATTTATGAAATTTTACGTTGTCATAAATATAGATATTGTCGATTAGAAAACTTGTACTGGTTATTCTTACAAACCATGGACTCTTGGCGCTTGGAAGCGCTATGGTAAAATTTATCTATATAAAAGGCTAGGGTAACTACGCCACCTAGGTAAAAAATCTGAACTACCAACATCTGACATTTCAATCATATTTTGTTCTTGAAACGGTACGGTGGATTCTGTTCTCAAACGTTGTTGTGATAACATCTATTGCAGAAAAACTCAAGGTATTTATAGATAATAAGGCTATTACTAACAATCCTTTGTTTGTAACCCGATCCTATCGCATACATACCTAATAGTAACAAGTAATAAAGTACACGACACGGTTCCTCCAGCCTAAAATGGAGACCATTAACCTCGATCCTGACAAATCTCCTGACCATCCGCCAGATTTAAGTAGGAAAAAAATTAATAAACCAATATAATATATGTGATTCCGTTCCGTTCGAAGTATATGTACAGGGAAAAGACAAAAATATAGGAAATTTTCACATCTTAAGTATTGCTAAAACAATATTTAACCTAAACCTACAGCAAATCATTAAATTTAACCGTAAAGGAAAAAACCGGTTAGGTGTTGTTTTTAAAGATTTTAAATCAGGAAAGATTTGAGAGATGGTAAAGTTTGCAATCTGATGTCTTTATCCCAAATCACAATGTCACCTGTAAGGGTATAATAAGAAACATATGTAAAGAGATATCTGAAGTGGAAATTAAAAATGCAATTGAAACAAAATTGGTCTCCTGTAAAGTAATTGACATAAAAAGACTAAATAGAAGAATTCTGGAAGAGGGAAAAGAACAAAACTATATACCAACAACCACCCTATGCGTAACATTTACAGAAAAAGCGCTGCCTAGGGATGTGCTTGTGTATGGCTTGCTCATGAGGGTTTTTCCATATATCAGCCCAGTCCTAATGTGTGGTAATTGCCTGTTATATGGTCACAGTAATAATCAATGCAGAGGGAACTCAAAGTGCCAGAACAGTGGAAAAAACCAACAAGGAGAGGCCTCGAATTGTGAAACTCAAGAGAATTTGTCTGTCTTGCATAACGAATCCAAGCCTAATAATATAATAGATATCACAGAAAGAAGAATAGAAGGCATAAAGAATGACACAATATACCAAAACATAACCCAATCGTCAAATCTCAATTCAACAAAAGAAGGAAACCAAACATGACAGAATATGACAAAAAACAACACAGTGCTCAACTAATTAATCCGGAGGAAAGATTAAACTGGACAACAAACTCTCAATCAATGCCATCAACATCAAAAGGTTATAGTACAGGAAACTGAACATGGAATCTCCCATGCAATGTCATCACTACCACCACAACATAAAGAGATGGTACTATCTTTTGTAAACAATTTGCGAAGAAACTTACACCCTAACTCATCTAATGTATCACAATATAAAACAATTAAAAGCAGCTCAACAAATAACATAACCTATGATTTAGTGGAAGATGGGACAGTATCTAATGCTTCAGAATCTTCTTCTTTGGGTGCCGTCTTCAATGAAGGTTGGCGATAACCTGAGCAAAATCATTTCTGTCCCTGTCTTTTCTTATTAAAGATTGAGAATCCAAACCAGTCCACTCACGAATGTTCTTCAACCAGGACGCCTGCCGTCTACCAGGACCACGTTTTCCTTCTACCTTCCCCTCTATAAGAAGCTGCAGTAGCTGGTATTTCTCATTTCTGTATATGTGTCCCAAATATGAGGTTTTCCGTGTTTTCATTATTTTTAAGAGTTCTCTGTCGGTACCCATCTTGTGTAGGACCTGCTCGTTGCTCATATGCGCTGTCCAGGGGACTTTCAGCATCCTTCGAAATAACCACATTTCAAAACTTTCCAAACGCCTTAGTGAGTTGATTTTGAAGGTCCAGGCCTCCATTCCATATAGTATGGTGCTGTAAACGTAACATTTCAGCATTCGGTATCGGATTTTGAGATTGAGTGTTTGGGACGTAAACATTTGTTTCATTTTTAAAAAGACATTTCTTGCTTGTTCAATTCGCGATTTTATTTCTATGTCTGGATCTATATCTTTCGTTATCCAGCACCCTAGATATCGAAATTTCTCGACATTTTCGATAATGTTACCATTCACGTTTAAAGCCATGGGTGGATGGATGGATGTTTTGGAGACAATCATTGTTTTTGTTTTCTTGACGTTAATGCTGAGGCCGTATTGTTCTCCGATCGATCTGACGCGATCTAAGAGTGTCTGGAGATCCTGTGCGCTCTCTGCAATTAGGACCGTGTCGTCGGCGTATCGTACATTATTTAGAACTCTGCCGTTAATTTTAACACCTTCTCTTGATTGCTCTAGTGCTCGTGCAAAGATTTCTTCCGAATATATATTGAAAAGTAGTGGTGACAATACACACCCCTGTCGTACACCTCGCTTGATATTGAATATTTCTGTGTCACCGGCTTCTGTTCTAACTGCTGCAGTTTGGTTAAAATACAGCGTTTGGATAATTTTAAAATCGTTCTCGTCTAGTCCCTTTTTGTGAAGGCAATCCATCAGCTTATCATGTTTTACTTTGTCGAAGGCCTTTTGATAGTCAATAAAACATAAAAAGAGATCCTTTTTTTGGTCTCGACATTTTTGCAGCAGTATAATAAAACTGGTTAATGCTTCCCGTGTCCCAAATCCATTTCGGAAGCCAAATTGTTCATCACTGTATCACTGATATCCTGTTCACATTTCTTATAAATGCGTTGGTGAATAACTTTCAAGAATAACTTTAACATATGCGACATTAAACTAATAAGTCTGAAATCACCACACTTCTTTGCTCCCTTAGTTTTTGGAAGGGGAATAAAGACTGATTTTAACCAGTCTTGTGGAATTTCACCGCTTGTATATATTTGATTAAATAATTTGACGATTATATTTAAATGTTTCTCTTCCAGTAGCTTTATGACTTCCGTGTGTATGTCATCGGGGCCAGGGGCTTTCCCATTTTTTGCGTTTTTGATTGCTCTCTCTACTTCTTGTTTTAATATAGGAGGACTGGTTTCATGGTTTTTATATATTATGTTGTTTAGTGGTGTGTCCTAGAATAGTTCTTCTATGTAATGTCCCCATACGTTGTTTAGATCGCTTAATTCCCATATCGTTTCATTCTCGTCGTTTGTTAATCTACAAGGGAGTCTTTGTTTTGTCATTCCAGCTAGATCTTTTATTTTTTTGTGAAGCGTTTTACTGTCGTGTTTCTTTATTAATTCTTCGATCTCTTGGCAGTTTTCTATCATCCAATTTTCTTTTGCGGTAGCTATTTCTTTCTTGATTTGACGATGTATCTCCTTATATTTTTCATTATCTTTATTTTTGTAGGCTCTTCGAGTATCCATCATTCCCAGAATTTTTTGTGTCATCCAGGGTTTAGATTTTCTTTTATTATTAGTGTCTTTTATATATTTCTCGGCACTAGTAAAAGCATTCTTGACTTCAGTCCATAAGCCTTCTGTAGTTGGTGATAACTCTCTTTGGAGTCTTTCACATTCCTCGTTGAGTTTAGTCTTTACCATACTTTGTATATTTTCTTGTTTAAGTAAATTGATGTCGGTTTTTCTTTTGACAGTCTTTTTTAGCATTTTGAACTTTATTTTTAATTTAGCCACTAGTAGGTTGTGATCCGATGGAACATCTGCGCCTGGGTATGTTCTTGTATCCGTTACTGCATTTTTATATCGCTGGTTTATAATAATGTAATCGATTTGATTCCGGACACAATTGTTTTTATTATCTGCGGGTGATTTTCACGTATATAACCTCCGTAGTGGTAGCTTGAACCAGGTGTTCATGATAGTTAGTTGTTTCTCCTGGCAAAATTGTAGTAGTCTGTCACCTCTATCATTGCGATTGCCCAGTCCGTAATTTCCACAAATATGTTCCACTTTTCCACAACCCACTTTGGCATTAAAATCTCCTACGATTAATGTTGTTTCATAACTCTTTGTCATTTTAAGTAATTCTTGGAGATTCTCATAGAACTGCTCTATTTCATCATCCGACTTGTCAGCAGTTGGTGCATAAACTTGGAGTATGTTTATGTTTACGGGCTTACTCTGTAATTTCAAAAGAAGCATTCGATCAGAATAGGGTATGAAATCAATTACTGCTTTTTTTATCTGCTCTGTTACTATAAGGCCTACACCATTCCAGTGTCTCTGCTGTTCGTTCCCCGAGTAGTATATTGTGTAGTCATCGATGGATACATTTCCAGAACCAAACCATCTCATCTCACTTATACCTAGTATGTCCACTCCAAGTCTTTTCATTTCACGAATGGTATTTTGAACTTTACCGGGTTCAAACATACTTTGTACGTTCCAAGTGCCTATTCGTACCAAGGATTGGTTATTAATGTATTCCACTTTCGGGTGGTTCCTCCTCGCGGGGATTCTTTGCACCCTCTGACCACTTAAGGTCTGCCGCGGACTAGGGGCCGTTAAATTTTTGTTTTGCATAGGTTACTTTACTAGGGAAAATATAGTGCAGTAGTTTCCCGTTGCTTTCTGCACCGCAGTATCACAACCGGTTAAATCATAATTTGATTACCGCCCGTGACTATCCGGTATCAGACCGATACAGAGATCTTGTCTCTACCGCTCTGATCCTGTAATGACATAGCTGCTGCCCTATGCCATGCTCTCAGTTGATCCGCGGGTGTTTATTTGGCAAAGCCTTATTCGCACCTGTCCTACATATCTGTAGGACGTTCCCTATCAGCCATTGGGACGCGCCGTGTCGGGGTTGAGAGCTGCCCCACTCCGAGTGTGTTTTCCAAGAAGTACTGAGAAGCCCCTACTCAGTTCAGAACCTCTCCTTCTCAGAAACTAACA